GGTCCATTCCCGGTTCTGCCGGTCCACTGGTTAAATCCGGTTTTGTCCATTTTAGCGGTTCAGCACTCAACCGGACCGGTTCCATGGCCGGGTGACTGGTTTCCGGGTCGAACTGGCCGGTCCGGTCCTTACAACATAGCTTTTTACATGTATATGATTCATTCTGTCTCACTAAGTTCGCCAACTTTTCATAAATAGATATTCAGTTTTTGCCACTTCTAGTCGCCGACTATTGTGTCACTGACAATTTTAGTACTCGACTTTTAATTTTTCCCTTTTTAATCATCGATTATTGTGTGAGAGACACCTTAAGTACTAGGGATGGACCGGGCCCGGGCCGGGTCGGGATTTGGGCGGGACTTAGTTTGGGAATTGAAGGCCCGGTACCGGCCGGGTTGGTTTTGGGACCAAACCGGGTCCGGGTCAGGTCTTATTTTTTTAAAAAAAATTTTGTTTTCTTATTTATTCCTATCCCCCACCCCCCAAACCCCACCAAACCACCCAGCCCCACCCGCCTAACACCCAATGCATTCGAAAAAAGGGCCCGGACCGGCCGGTCCACCTAATCCCCATCGTGTAGCCCGCCCCGACCCCCCCCTCCCCCGGTTCGGGCCCCAGGCCGGTCCTGGACAGCCGGGTCAGGCCGGTACCGCACAGTAGCGGTCTGGGCCGGGTACCAGGCTGGTCCGACCGGGCGCGGTCCATTCCTATATAGTACTAGACTTCCAAGTTTTCCGCATTTAATTCTCTGAGTCTTATCAAATTGACTCTTTTAGTCCGTGCACTATTATTTTGAGATAATAACTGGAAGACTAAAAATGTCACTATTATAATATTGAAGGACAAAAATGTCACTTTTATGAAAGTTGAAGGACTAAATATGGAAATATTCAAAGATGACTACCAAAAGTGTCTTTCTCACGGTAGTTGAAGGAATAAAATGAGAAATTCAAAGTCGAGTATTAAAAGTATTAATGACAAAATAGTCAGATGATTAAAAGTGGTAAGAACTCATTAGCTGTTTAAAACTTGACTACTTAACTTTAAACTAAAAATTTATGATCCCTCTATGCACAAAGTTAAAACGCACAAAATGTAGTTTCAATCTTATTCATCGTGAAAGTCGAGTGTGACCAATTTTTATGGGATAGAGAGGTATTAACATAGTTACATTCCATTATTAACATCACTTTTACATTACTCATTGAAATAATATAAAATTATTTTATTTAAATTTTACATTACTGCTGCATTTGTATTATGAAAAAATGACAAAAACATAACTTCCAGGTTTTGATAGGACATAAATAGAACCAAATTTTGTTTGGACTAAAATAAGACTAAAATGAATCAATTTGACTTAATTGCCCCTAGACTAGGGGTGTAAATGAGTCAAGCCGCTCGCGAGCCGATCGTGGATCGCTCGGGAAAAGCTCGACTCGAGTTTGGTCATATTGAGTTCGGCTCGAGTTCGTCTTGACTCGAATAGTTAACAAGCTCAATTCAAGCCTATTTATTTTAGGCTCGTGGCTCGTGAGCCGGTTCGCGAGCCTTTGTGTCATATTTTATATATAATAAATATATATGTAATAATTATATATATAATTTTTTTGAAATATATATTCCAATTTAGGACTATTCCATTTCAATACTTATCACATAGTATATGATAATAGTAATAATTACAAAAATAATAACATGCGTGTAGTATTATTATTATAACCATAATCTGTAATAATTATAGTATGTACTCTTAATATTTATTGACAGTAAAATAAAGAATACAAATGTTAGTAAATAAGAAATAAACTAAAAATGAGAATGAAAAAGTAAACCTATAATATTTTTAGCTCGAGTTCGAGCATCTAATTCAAGTGCAAACCTATAAAAATTAATTAGCAAAACTTGACCTGAGCTCGAATCAAGCTCGAATACAGCTCGAGCCGAGCTCGGCTCGAGATCGAACTCGAATTAATTAACTCGTCCAAGCTCGAGATCGATCTTGAGCTCGTGAATTCTTATCAAGCTCAAGCTCAAGCATACCCATGCTCAGGCTCGGCTCTGCTCGTTTATACCGCTACCCTAGACTAAGCGATCCTTCTGCGCACTTCAACCCCTCCCTCTCCAGGGCTCTGCACTCAAATAAATCTGCCTGGGTTTGCGCTTCCGCACTCTCCATCTAGTGCCTCCGGCGCATCGACCATCGCCGCCACCTCCCAGTCGGCATGCTTTTCCGCCGCCCGCCAGTGTCTTCTGAGTCTGCCATCACCGCCACCAGCTAGGGTTTTCATCTCCGCCGCCCACCAGCCTTCTCTGAATCGGCTATGGCCTGCGCATTTGCAAGTCGTCAATCGACTAGTGTATTCTCCACTACATCGAATCCATTCCTTTTTCTTCCTTTATTTTCTCGCCAGATTTGGTCGGGTGGTTAGGATTTTTGGCTGAGGTTGTGGGTTGGGGTGGTGGTGAGATGGGACTGTGTTAGGCTGGTCGGAGCTAGAGCTGGGGAAAGGTGAATTGGGGCTCAGAGGTGGAGCTGGGTTGGAGGGTTGGGGGCAGGACAGGGATATGACTGGAAAACAAGGAGGGGACTGTGGTGAGCTGCAGGTGGGACAGGGGATTGGCAGCTTGTTTCCGGGCATTGGTGGTGACCGTAGGTGGTGGTCACCGGAGTTTTCCAGAGGTGGTGGTCACCAGAAGTAGATGGTTGAGGAGGTGGCTGGAGGTGGTGGCTGCCACTTGTCATTATTGGACTAAGTTACGGTAAATGGTTGGCCCGGGTAATTATAAATGGTCATTTTCGGATGTCTTTAACCGATCCAATCGGGCAAATGTAACCGGCGGGTCAGGTAATTGCAATTGACGGGTCGAGGATCTTTAATTGGCAGGTCACGAAACTGTTGGTCACTGGACGGGCGAGCGTTTGTAACTTGATGGGCGAACGTTGATAATTTAACGGGCGGATGTTAGTCACTAGACGGAAGTCACTGTGTCACTGTGCGGAATTTTTGGTCACTAATGGTTTTGGTCACTGATGGGTAGTTGTAACTGACAGGTCATGTAAGTGTAAGTAACGAATCGGATAATTGTCATTTTCGGATGTCTTTAACCGATCCAATCGGGCAAATGTAACCGGCGGGTCAGGTAATTGCAATTGACGGGTCGAGGATCTTTAATTGGCAGGTCATAAAACTGTTGGTCACTGGACGGGCGAGCGTTTGTAACTTGATGGGCGAACGTTGATAATTTAACGGGCGGATGCTAGTCACTAGACGGAAGTCACTGTGCAGAATTTTTGGTCACTAATGGTTTTGGTCACTGATGGGTAATTGTAACTGACAGGTCATGTAAGTGTAAGTAACGAATCGGGTAATTGTAACGGACGAGTCATGTAACTACAACTGGCGAATCAAGTAATTATAGAGATTTATAGCATGTGAGTCAGGTAAGTAATGGTAACTGGCGAATCACGTAATTGTAATTGACGGGTCATGTAACTATGGCTGGTGAATCGGGTAATTGTAATTGGCGGGTCTTGCAACTGTAACTGGCGGCGGCACGTAATTGTAATTGGCCGGGCGAGTAAATGTAATTAGTCATGCGGGTAATTGTAACTGGCGGTGAGTAATTGCTACTGTTCACAAGGGTAACTGTAACCATTTGACCGTATAATTGTAATTGATCGGATCGATTTATTATAAATTGTTGCCAAATAAATTTAATTGGATGAAGGATGTAAGGTCAATTTTTTGTGACCTTCCTATAACATATGCAGTGGGAAATGGGAAACGACTTTCTTTTTTGAGGGAACGAACTGGGAAACGACTACAAAAGTGAAACGTGGGCATATATGAATCAGTTTACAGCGCATAGAGTATTAGGGGGGGCATTTTTGATAATTCAATCCCAAACTTACGGATAGATCATACGGATGGTCTCATTTTTGGAAATCCTTAAAAGTAGTCCTATATTTGTCTAAACACTTTTAATTAGTGATATTTATGACCCAACCCCTTCTATTATTTACACTCCGATATTTAGTACCCCATATTATATTTCAACTACTTATATTCCCTATTTCCATATTGTAATTGCAGCTATATTAGTCTCTTATTATATTACTTATATATTTCAACTTCGTTGTTACAGTATTATCATTACATATTTGTTTTCCAATGTACAAAATACTAACAAAAGAAAAAACCAAGTCTACATTACGAGGCGTTAAAAATGCCCTATCGTAATTCTAGATATGGTGCTCTGTCCTCAAGATGGTATGTGTAAACTCTAAAGAGCAATTTCAACAATCGTTGAACTTTCAATAACATAATTGTGACATTCCAAATTCCAATCATGGTTTTATAATGAACACAACGGATTCCCTTAAAGCAACACTGAAGAAGAACGTACTTGGGCTGGGCTATGCCACATTGGCCCAAAACCAATGGATTTGGGCTGGGCTCAATAAATAGAAGTTAATTAATGGCCAGACCGGACTTTTGTAATAAAATGTTCGCCCTAGCTCATCTATACAATTTGGTGTAAGGGGTGAACCGGGCCGACTCACATGTCCCTAATAGGGCTGGGTCTAGATAAGCTTACAAGAAAAATGTAAAAAACATTGTGCATAACAAATAACAAATACTACCTCCGTTCTCTTTTAATTGTAACATTGGACTTTTTGCACTATTGACATATTCTATTTTGACTATATTTTATTTATAAATGTATTATAAATTAAATTTTTATTTTTTTTTTTTAAATTCTTCTCATTCTAAATTTTCAAAATATATATATTTTTAAATTTTTTACTAATAAAGAATGAAAGAAATAAATGGTCAAACTTATGCGTTAACAAACATGGAATGTTGACCTTTGCAATTAAAAGGGAACATAGGAAGTACATTGTAATCAATTAAACAAGTAAAATGAATTTTTACTCAAAAGATGTAATAATAAAGTGAAAAGTCAAATTATCTATATCTAAATTTTTTGATGATGCACTCTTGAAAAAGAGATATACCAAAATATCATACTTATTGTAAAAATAAATTACTGCGTATAAAAATATTACGGAGTATTAAAACTAAGCTTTGGCAGAGCCATTTGAGTCATTTGACTGAATTGAGGACCACTTTTCCCGCAAGTGAGGATATTTCGCATGAAGCTCCTCCTCAGATAGGACATCATTTTTCTTCTGTGGGGCCCACATCACAATAACACCCTACATTAAGGCAATGAATACATAAGTGTAAATTTATCTTATTTTATAAACATGAGTAGGAATTATTTAGCCATACTAAAAGAATAAATTAAATAACACTTTTCAAAATAGAAGTGAATAAATCATATTTTATGAATAAAATAATGTTTATTCAACTGAGTATTTATTAACTTTATACTTATTTTAGCTGAATTTAGAGATTTTTCTCTAAACTTTAGGATACACATGGAGCACCTGTATAAAATAATGAAATTTTCCTTTTCCAACGTAACTATAAATAAAATAGCACCTGTATTTGGTTTGATGGTATGAAATGAAGCTTTTCCAAAGCTTTCTGTAAATCCCTGTTATTATTTGAGGTTGGAAACTTCTCTAATCCATTGGCAACCACTGCGATTATTGTAATCTGCATATATAATTGAGAATATATTGAAGAGCATTAATATAGAACCCAAAAAAAAGCCATGAAGATATGAGTTCGAACATTGTGTACACTTAAACACTTAAAAGAACACTTAAACACCTCAATTGGATGACATGAAATTGCTGAGATGATGTGGAATAGCTGATATGACGGTTATACTGTATTGTAGTGATAATGAGATGACATAATGAAAAGTGTCATCATTTAGGAAATAAGTTTAAAAATATCTCTACTTGAAAAATAAGTTTGAAAAGTACTCCTGCTTTGAAAAAACGCACACCCCGTATTTCACAATACACTATTTTCACTATTAATATTTTGAATGGTCTATTAGTGAAAAAAGCACACATTTTAAAAAATTAAATTGAGCCATATAAAACAATATCATTCACATAATATAATTTGCAAAAACATCAAAAAAGAAAAGAGAATACAGTTACGATAGATGTGATTAATGCAAAAGTCAATAAATAGCAATTAATAAAGAGCATGAATGGAATAGTAGTAAATCTTACCACCATGTACTCATCAGATAAAGTAATTGCTGTTTCGTTTTCAGGAAGCTTAATCTTTTTGTTGTTTATGTTGTAAAGTGAGACTTCATCAAATTTCTGTTGTTCTTCTTTCGCGAGATGCATTAACTTATCGTTTGCTGCATCCGGATTGCTCTCCACATAAACCTGCATGCAGAATATCATAGTCATAGTAATAAAAAACTATTTTTCTCCCTCTATTAATAATTATAACAAAACAACCAATACTATAGTGAGTACTGCTATTACTAATACACCAAACGTTTTCCATATATTTTTTTAGCTCAAATCAAAATTATAGTTGTAATATTGGGCTATTTGGGCTTAGTAATGGGCCTTGCCCAAATCAAGATTCGTCTATGAAAAGAGAGGGGTATTTAATTATGTATAGTACAAAACAGGATATAAATTACACAAGTCATTTTTTTAATCGCAATATTTTCATTTTTACGTTTATCACACAACTTTGAGCATTGATATATTTCGCACCACATTAATAAAAAATTAAAAATTCTAGGTTGTGAAAATTTAAATTGAGAGGAATTTAACAAATTTTTCAAAATTAAATTTCTAATACATTATTAAATAAAATATGATCAAAATAGAGCAGATAAATAGTGTAAAATTCAACACGTTGCATCTATTTAAGTGCGGGGATAGTAAATAATAGCATCAAGCCATATTGGATAGGACAAAGAAGAATCCGGTTGGGCCTAGCCTGGGCAAATCAAGCCAATCCAATTTAGGTCAAAACAAATTGAAGAAACAAGTTAAGAATTCATCATACCACATCATCTTTGCATTTCATTTCATAGTACAAAATACACAAGGGGTGTTTGGCAAGCAACGATGGCTGTTAGCTGTTAGCCGATTTGTTGAATTTTCGCACCGGTAAAACATAAAGTTATAAAATGCGATATTAAGATTTTGAGTTACTTCTTCTAGTAGGTTGAGCTTTTAGAATAGAATCCGAGATTTTAACACCATTCTATCAACAAATTGATGTTAGCAGATTCTGTTATTAGCAGTTTTGACTAGTCGTTATCATTAGCGGATTAAAGTAAAATGTTTAATAACTTAATTGTTCACGATTAGCTGTTAAGATGTAAAATGAATTTAAATTATTATTTTTAATACAAATGCGTGAACAAAAAACATATATTATAAAATAATATTATTTTTAATATGATATACTAGTATATACTAATTCATTTAAATTAGTTTTAGTATTAATTAATATTTTGAATATGATTATTTTTAGTAGTTTTTATAATAATAATAACATAAACAGCAATACTATTCATGATAATATTAATTCAACTATATTTTTTGATAATATCTATACAAATGCAATTATATTTACATTTTCTTAGTTAGTTTTATTTTATTCCATATTTTGAATAATTAATAAAGGAGCTATATCAAAAAACCGTTCTGAAAAGGCTACTCAGGGCAGTTTTTCCTAGTAAATAGCCAAATCAAAACGTTATCTAAGAATTATCTAAAATACTAGTAACTGTTTGACAGAGACAAACAATTAAAGTTAATTCAAAAAACAAAAACAAAAAAAGACTGAATGGCTGCTTACCGCCAAGTATCTAATAAAAGGACACCCGACTAATTATTACTCCCTCCGTCCCTAATAACTTTTCCAAGTTTGACCGGCACGGGAATTAATAAAGTAAAAACTGTGTGGTTGAGGTTTGTGCAGAGGAGAGAGAATTAACTGGAACCACAAATTCTTTACTTAAATAGGAAAGTGGCAAAGTTATTGGGACATCCAAAAAAGGAAAGTTGGCAAAGTTATAAGGGACGGATGAAGTATTATTATTACTCCGTCTTGCTACTCCCTCCGTCCCATTTTGGTTGTCTTACTTTTTCATTTTGGGTTGTCCCAAAATGAATGTCATGTTTTCCTTTTGAGTAAGATATTTGTGGTCCATATCATTTCACTTCATTCTATTCAAATCTCAATCACAATTTTTACATTTCAACCACTTTATTAATAGCTGTGCCAAATTGAAATGAGACAACCATTATGGAACTGGAACGGAGCTAGTATCATTTCTTCCGGGCTGTCGAACACAATATTATAAGTTTATAACAAATCTAGTATACATAACCTAAACAAAGAAAAGTAACAAACTTACAGTTGAGTGGCTTGAAAATGTGCTACCGAAGTCTCGAATTAAATACCAAGTTATCCCTGCACCGTGGCCGAAGTAATTATGTAAATAAATGGTCAAAATTTCAAAAAGCCAAAATTTAAGTGAACTTTACCATTTCGTCTTTCGCATTACAAAAATACAGCGAAAGAAAAGAACCAAGTCGGATCGTAATGGAAATCTACAATGACTTATAGATTTATAGGAGTATTGGAGCCTCATGTATGAGTGCACGACAAGGCTAGACCATTTGAGCTTACTAGGGAACATAATATTTTTATTTTACTTTTATCTTTAATTAACTAATTTAGGGAAATGAATTTAGTATTTTGATATAATGATATTGTACAATTATTAATTAATTGTTACCTGATATCAGTAGAGTAATTGATATAATATTTTTACCAAATAAGGAAATAAGGGTTTTGTTTATAGACATCATAAAATAATATGGAGTATTACATTGCTCCCAATTAAAGATCTCAAATTTCTTTATTAATTAATAAAGAAAATTTTAATTTGGCCTATTCCAATTTCAGATCAAATTAAATTTAAATGGTCCACACTAAACTAAGCTAGACTAGATCAAATCACATGGACAAGATTTAGACAATAATATAGTAGACATAAAATAGAATCATTTTTTATTATCATATTGGACCAAACTTAAATAAATCAGATAATAATAGCAGCTAAATTAATGTCATTCCAAATAAAAACCTCATAAACAAAGACATTGCCTTATTTTTTTTACCAGAAGACATTGCCTTATTTAGTAAACAACATCTTTTCAATTTACCGTACTACACTTTAGCATTGATAACTATACGGTATTAAGGATGTTTTTACTTGGGCTGTAATTTGTCCCAGACCAGACCAGATCAGTCCAGACCAGACCAGACCAGTTCAGACCAGTTCAGACCAGACCAGATCAGACCAGCAAATTAGCAAATAGCGTACTCTATTGTAGATTTAAATTGACCGAGTACGGGGGACATTTGAGAAAACAAAAGAGAAACCATTTTTTTCAAACTGCGTTAGGGTCAACAAAAAACTTGGGACACGGGCGGGGCTAGAATTTTTATTGCAACCTTTATTTATGTTATTATGTGTCTCATTAAGGTAATGAATTAAGATCATGGTGTTGAAGGATACCACTATCCTATGCCAAGTTTGTTACTGGGTACTTGTAAATAGACTATACGGTTAGTGCAATATTTTAAAACTATTATTAAATGAGAATAAATTAACAATGTGTCAACTATTGGTGCAAAAATACCAAATCAGCATGGTATCGAACCGGAACGGTATGACACTTGACAAAAAAATGGGGTTTGAAATAGGTCTCAAATTTTTTGTCCCGAACCGGACCATACCGGTTCCAAACAATGCCATGACTTTATGAGAACCGGTACCAGAGCGAACCGGACCGAATTATAATTTAAGTATTTAAATGTACATTTGTACCATTACTTTGATAAGTGCCTTCACACTTTCACAACCTTTGCTAGTTTACTCGAAGCTTAGAACCGGACCAAAGTATAGTTTAATTATTTACAATTGTACTACTACAACTTATCCAATATTTATTAATTATGTAATATAAAAATTTATAAATTGTGTGGACATTGTTGGTATTGGTATGACATGGTACCGTCCCATTTTAAAATAAAACCGTACCGAACGTGTTTAGATCTAAGACCGAATTGAATCGTACCATTCCTAGTTAGTTAAATATGGTACGGGAATTAAACGGGGTTTAATACGTACGCATTTTATTCGGTAACATGAATGAAAAAAACGGTCAAAAATTCGTTGAAAAAAACGTTTTTTAAAAAACGTGTAAATACGTATACGCGTATAATACGTTGTCTATTACAAAATTTCGGACGAAAAATACGGGTATTATTTTGAACATTTATATGATATATTTCATAAAATAACATATATAGTAAAAAAGATATAAAAGTATACACATATTCAAGTAGCAAATCTCATTACTACATCCAAGAATAGTTCGTAATTGCATAAGTCGATGACAAAAATAAAAACAGTAATTAAGTCCAAGACATAATTTTGAAAAATAATGTCAAAAAATCATCATCTTTATATGATTATCAAATAACACTCAAGTTAAACTCATCATTTGGGTTTTTTCCAGAAATATTATTAAAATAAAACTTATTTACACAAATATGATTAATTATTAATACAATGTAGTGTCATCATAACTTATGTTTAATAATTGAACGTAAGTTACTCTGATTCATTACTACTCTAGTCACTAGTCACATTTTTGTAAACAATCCCTATTTTAATTATAAATATGTAATTATTTCTATATTATAAACCAAACTAGGGTATTAGGAAATATTTGTATAATTTTTTCTGTATAATGTACACATTTTTTCATATGTATTCTCACAAATTTTTGGGTTTAGCTAATTGAAAAATGGTATAAATAGTCAAGATCTTCGATATTTTTGACATATTAATACATACTCCCTCCGGTTTTTAATAAACTTCACACTTTCCTTTTTGGGACGGTCTAAAATAAACTTCACACTTCCTTATTTCCTTTTTTTGGCAAAGAAATCTACATCAAAACAGTGCCAAACAGTGTCTCAACAGTGCCAAACAGTGTCTCTATAGTGCCAAACAGTGTCAAACAGTGCCTCAACAGTGTACTCTACAGTAAAGTCAAATTTCTTTCCTTATTTTGTGTGAAGTCAAACTATGAAGATTAAAAAAAACCGGAGGTAGTATAATCGAATGTAAACTTAAATACATTTCAAATATTTTTTAGTAATTCATTGCCTTATGAACGTTAGAAAACCATTTTGCTACGAAAAATCCATATATAAGAAAGATCCTTGATTTTTTCACATCATGCATATATGCCATAATGCCATCCTGATAATACTCCAAGGTGAAACATATATAACAGTCACAAAGTGAATTTGTGATAAAGAAATATATGTTGATAGAAGTGAAAGTGGTAATGGTATTGAAGACCTTACTTCTTAAAGTATCAACCAAACCGTCTATACAAGATGTATCTGCAGTTTCAGCAATTTTATTGAGATCTCGTCTAAGCGACTGCATGGACCCAAATAATCCTACCTAAAAGAAATAGCAAGAAGGATTACAAAGGCGAGAATGACAAAAATATTAACTCTCTACTTGAAAGACATGAAAGTGAATAATTTTTGGCGAAATTGACACCAATAATCCCTACTTTTAGACATTTTACAAAAATAATTCCTACTCAAAAAGTTCACAACAATAATCCCAACTGGATAATTGTTTCACAAAAATAAACCGGAAGTTAACGGTGTTAACTTTTCCGTTAATTTTTTTTAAAATTTAAAATAAAATGAAGCAAATATATATAAAAACATTAATAATATTATGTTTTTGTTTAGTGTTATTTCTACTATAAATTTAATTTAATAATAACTATTTTTTGTAAAATATAATAAAAATTTGAACACAGACTTGTATTCATTTTAGTACGTGGTAATGTTTAATACGTAGTACTTCGTATAGAATTACTAAAACTAAATTTAAATCTCTTATACAATGAAATAAAAATGAATATAAATAAAATACTGATTAGAACTAAAAGAAAAATGAGAATTTGATGAGTGCGTTCTTAAATATTTCTATTACATTTTATGAAAAATAATGACTATTAAATTTAATTCATAATAAAAGTAAATATAAGGACAAATATAGTATATAATAATGTTGGTGTTTGTACATATTTTTGCTTCATTATATTTAAAATGCAATAAAAAACTAACGGAAAAGTTATCATCGTTAACTCCGGTTTATTTCTGTGAAAGAGTTGAGTAGTTCAGATTATTGTTGTAAACTTTTCCGGTAGGGATTATTTTTGTAAAATGCATAAAAGTATGGATTATTTATGTCAATTTCGCCATAATTTTTCGTATTGGGAAAGTCACTAGAAAAATGGCATTATACTTTTCCACATTTCTTATATTCAGAGGAATAATTTTTTCCGCCATGTCAAATTGACATGTTTCACGGCGGTGATAGGGACATTGGTGGCGATAACTGACACTCGCATTAAGTTGTATTGACGTAATAAAATGTCAATGAGATAAAAATGCCATAAATGATGGATATAAAAACCTCACAATGACATTCATGATTTTTCAAATTCACTACTGAGTACATTGTTAGTCACATTTTTACACATGTAAAAGTTAGAGAAATTAGCCTAAATAGGAGTAAACAAATTTTGGAATTCCAAAATAGAACAGTTATACGTTTTTCTTTCCGAAATATGAATTGTTACTACCATGAATGAAACATACTGCCATTAATGGCAGTAAATACTCCCCGTAGATACTGCAACAATTTTTGCAATAATGACACCAAGATTGCAGTAAATATTTTCACATTACTCTCATTCTGAGAAGAAAAATATAGCAACCATATTTTGAAGGAAAAATTGAAAATAATAATCGCAACTATTGCCGGTCCGCTAACAATAATCTCAACTATTGATTATTTTTGTATAATCCCAACTATATGAACCATCCGCCAATAATGATCCATGACCAAATATTACCTTCTATAAAAGTGAATTTTAAATAGAAATTAAACGTAAAAATTAAAAGTTGAGATTATTTATAGAGATTACTTGTTATATCTCTTCTCATCCACTTCAGAAAGTACATGAATTTATTTACAGGGACTGTTATTGGCGGAAGGACCCTAAAGTTGGGATTATTATGAAATAATCGATAGTTGAGATTATTATAAGCGGACCGCCAATAGTTGGGATTATTACAATCAATTTTTCCTATTTTGAAACTGTAAAACTTGTGTACTCCTATTTTGAAAAATCCCTTGATAAGCCCGTATAGGACACATATACATAGTATACATCTCATTAAAATTGGAAAGAAGTACTAAGCGCATATTCTGATCAAAGAAAAGAAACAAGGCCAAACATTAGGAGGGTCAAGGGTGTATCACCAGAAGATCAGAATCAGATACTACCTCCATTTCATATACTAGGTACTACATATTTGTTAGTGTTCACATAATCACAATAACTAATAACTTTAATTTAAGATATACTACGGATGTTTATTAAGAAAATTATAGTCTCATTCTAGCAACTTATTACTTAATGAATATACGGAGTATCAATTATTGACCTCGTAGCTTTATTCACTTAAAAATAAGAACTTAGTTGGAATATACTTTTGCCCATGCATTTTTTAATTTAAAATGATACATTCTGATGAAAAGTATAAAATCATTTGCAAATAATTAAAGTTAGAACTAATAACTAAACTAAAGCAAATCTTCTTGTTTCATACGTCGTATTACAGTTTCTTAAAATACTACCGTTCTCTTTTAATTGCAACATTGAACTTTCTGCACTATTCACACATTCTACTTTGACTATATTTTATTTATTAATGTATTACAAATTAAATTTGAAAAAATATTATTAAATTCTTCTCATTCTAAATTTTCAAAATATGAATTTGTTAATTTTTTTACAAATAAGGAACAAACGATATTAATGGTCAAACTTGTATGTTAGCAAATGTGAAATGTTGATTGTTGCAATGTTACAATATAATTAAAAGCGAACGGAGGAAGTATTAAAGTATTCAAGAAATCATTTTAGGACAAAGTGGCGTTGAATGAATTAATCTAAGTTAGATTCTATGGTACCCATAAGGTACCATACCTTTGTCCACATGAATCAATGAGAATGTAGCAGTTGAATTATTTAAATCTAAATTAAAAATGATAAAGTGATGTGGTCCAATCAAATGAATGATAGGTACGGTACCCCATATTTTAGAAAGGTACCGGAGTTGTCACCTTAATCTAAAGCTGCTTTAATTTATTATACCTGAAGCTTGATAATACTGCTCTTGCTTTGATTAGATTCCGCCACAATACTGCTCTTCCTTTGATTAGATTCCGCCACAGCGCTCTTTCTTTGATTAGATTCCGTCGGCTTCCCATTCGCAAGTTCTTCTATAACCTCATCTAGAGCTTTCATAAGCTTTGGGTCTGATAAGAAAATAAACAATAAAGTAGCAATGATAATGGAAAAGGCTCCGACGTAGATGTAATCCTTCACGGCGTTCCATGAGTTATTGCATCTGCACGAGCACGAGCACGATGACGAGAAAGGAGGCGGTGATTCGGATGAAGAAGAAGATTTACATGATGAGGATCGAGAAGGGGAAGAAGACCCAGAGGAAGCAGAAGAGGATGAAGACCGTGGGGAAGAACCAGCAGATTTTGATGATGAAAAGGATGGAGACGAGGAAGAAGACCCTGACGAAGAAGAGGAAGATCGAGATGAAGAGGAAGAAGAAGACGAAGAACCAAATGATGAGCCGCCAACCATACCGCCCGATAAAGCCCAGGCCGCCGCAGGAGGGTAACCTCTCGGCGCCGCCGTGACCATCTGCAAAAGCAACACACCCAACACGGCCACGGCGGCGGCAACGCCTTGACATGGCTTCGCCGGGGCTTTATGGGCAAAAAGATCACCGAAACGAATCGCAAAAGGGCTGTTTTTCCATCCCCGATTCGAGTCCGCCGTCACAAGAGTGTGGTCCTTTTGGTGGTCAACGTTTGAAGAAAGGGCTGCAGCTTTTGACTGCGCGTTGATCATTCGGACACTGCGGAAAGAGGAGAAGGGGTTGGGTGGCGTTTGACCATGAAGAGAAGATAGCCGCCATGGATGCAGCTCCACATGGACTAGGGTTGCAATCGTCATTCCTTTTCAATTCTTTACCGCTAGCTCTTCTAAACTACTTACCTTTCGTTCTAATCTTCCCCTTTTAATGAAGGGAAGGAACTCAAAACAAAACCCTAGAAATTACGGTAGATTCTTATAATAATACTATAAACTGAGTACGGCCCTTGTGACTTACTCCCTCCGTCCCTTATAACTTTGCCAACTTTCCTTTTTTGGATGTCCCATTAACTTTGCCACTTTCTCATTTAAGTAAAGAATTCGTGATTCTTATTAATTCTCTCTCCTCTGCACAAATCTCAATCACACAATTTTTACTTTATTAATCCACGTGCCGGTCAAACTTGGCAAAGTTATTAGGGACGGAGGGAGTAGTACTTAATTTAATGCAATCAGATTAGATCAGACTTAAACACCTACCAGACTAAACTTTAATAAATCAGATCAGACTTTAACAATTATGAAGGGTATGTTTGACACAACTAGCTGAAAAGATACTTTTGTAAGCTTTTTAATAACTGTTAGCTTTTAGAGGCTGAAAAGATCTTAAAAAGAAAAGGTGATAGGTGTTTGGTAATTGATTTAGTTTGGTTTGGTATACAAACTGTTGGGACTAATTAGTACTAAAAGTCACGAGCTTTTCTCAGATGCTACTCCTCGTAGCATCTCAAAAAAGATCTTTTAATTTTTGAAAGCCTCTTAAAAATTGTCATGTCAAACATACAACTAGAAGCTTTAAGAGACTTTTTGAATAGTACAAAAGTTATATAGCATATATGGAGTTATTCGTGCCAAACATAGCCGAAATACACAGATCAGACATCTATCAAGCTAAAGAGGCTAGAGCACTTTGATGAGATCAGACTTATGTAAATTAAACCAGAAAAGCCCAATCCAAGTAAAAACATCTTTAAGACCGACTCATTATGGAATTATTATTCCTCCATTAACCCATATTTTTCTCATAATCAAGTTTTGAACGAAGTAAACTACTCGTAATATGTATGGATAGGGGCATGAAATTGAAACTTCAATTTCGGTTTGACAAAAACCAAGAATAGAGGATAACTATCAACACTAAAATTGGGGATATTGACGGATCTTATAGAAAAGTAGAAACGTACTGTTGTTAAATTTATTAAGTGTCAATTTAGGAGGTGTTGAGTGAAAGTGAAAAAGTGATTCTGAAGATCTAATTTACTCCTAGAATCAGTTTTTTTTAGAAACTGTGGAAGATCATTTTCCGAAAACTGATTTTTCATTTAGAAATTACTTCAAATAGGATTAAAACTATGACAAAAACTCAAAATAAGACTTGCTATATTTTTATTCCAAAATAGGATCATAATGGTCCTATTAGAAACATACCCATTTCTTCCTTCCATTCTTACCCCTCCTTTAAATATTAGTAAAAGATAGCTAAAAGTCATAATTAAATGTTTAATTCATAATAAATCCGAAAAAATTTCAATAATTCGTAGAAAAATAATAAAAAAATTAATAAAATTTTTTATAAAATAAAAAATAAGAAAAAGAGGTATTATTTTTTTTTTTGAAAATTAATAAAAATAGTAAAACTCCATAAAAAAATTTAAAAAAATAGATATATTACCCGAAATAGGACTAAAAACGTTCACAAATTCCAAAATAGGACTTGCATGTTTTTATTCCCAAAATAGGACTAATTACTGCCATGTTTTGGCAGTATTAGACTTCAAACATGACAGTATTTTCCAAATTTGGCAGTAATTAGTCCCATTTTGGGAATAAATACATGACAATCCCATTTTAGAATTTTGAAACTATTTTAGTCCTATTTCGGGAACTTTCCCAAAAAAATATGAATACCTTTCCCACCGCCTGTACTACCTCCCTGAACCACCACCTCCGATCGGTGTAAAAAATGCCATTTTTTTTAAATTCCACAAAAATGACATATTTCATGAGAATGCCAACATTTTAATTCTGCCAACTTGAATGTGGTTTTTAATTGGATATTACTAATTTTGAACCAATTAACCAAAAAGTGACCACTTTTAAAAAGGGGAAAAAAAGTGATCAAGGTCATATATGTGCAATTAGAAAACATGATGTAACTGCAAAAATTTTATGTCACTACGTGCTCATTTTTTTGTAATTACAACCACCACCCATGTCACTATAACCACCGCCCATGTCACTGTAGCCACCGTCCATGTCACTATAGCCACCGCCCGTGTCACTATAGCCACCGCCCGTGTCATTGTAGTCACCGCCCGTGTCATTGTAGCCACCGCCCGTGTCACTGTGCTCGCCGGAACCCCCCCAACCCTAACCTTAGGGAAAAGACCGCAAGTTCTCCTGATTTGGTTGTAAACTTACCGTGATTTGTTAGATTAATAAAGTTTTGATTTACTATAAAAGAACAATTACGGTCAAATTAGCTCATTTACGAGATTCTTTAATTTCTATTCAATGAGCCGGAGAGCATTTGGTCATAATAATTTTCTATGATTGTGTTTGTCTTTAAATCCTAGCATTTAGTAACTTTGTTTTTCGGCTTATCAGGCTTATCAGCCAACTTTTTAACCAAACACGTAATTTTTGATTTCACACGCTGAATTGTAAAATAATAAGAAAAAGTAAGGTTGAAGTTACTTTTCTAGTTGTATTAGCTGAAGTTACTGTAGATGACAATTTTAGCTATTTTTCATATAATTCTTTATTTATTTTATTAATAAAATACGAAGTATTTTCCATCATTTGCAATGGAGCTAAAGATTCATTATTTTTTGGCTTGAGAATATGATGGAATAAAGCAAAATGGCTCACTTAGCTGTCTGCGCTTCTTTGTTATGAAGTTGCGGTCAGTCAATACAATTTTGGACGCGATTTTCACTATTGGTCATCCGGAAACAGTCTCTTTGTTCTTTAGTACAAGGGTAAGATTACGTACATCCGACCCCCTCCCCTTACCCCACCGTAGGTGGGAGCCTTTGCGGCACTGTGATAAATGATGATTGATGATTGAATAAAATACGGAGTATATTTTAAATATAATTTTTTCATAAGTCAACAGAATCAGCCAATACAGCCACTTCAACCAGAACATCATAAATTTCAGCAGAATCACACTACAACAACTATTGTCATCTATAGCGACTCAAAAACGCTATCATATCATTCCATAGCGTTTTATGAAACGCTATATCTTGACATGCTATAGTAGATCTACGGCTTTATATAGCATTTTACAAACGCTATCATAAATAAGTCAACAATAGCGTTTCAAACAGCTATAGAAGATGTGCCACTATAGTAGTTCATATACTTTTACATTGCTTTAACAAACGCTATCTTTATACCCAACATGGTAGACATATATTTACAAATTTTACATTTGATTTCTAAAACACTATCTAAGTAATATCAATCACAGATTTTCCAAGCAGCCACTGCCCACCGTGCTAAATAAAATACTGGATAATATCCAATACTGACAAGCATATATAATTTAAAGAAAACACTATTTAAATGTAATTGATACAAAACTGGTTTTAAGATCTATATTATCCACATTGCTCTTGTAATATCTATATAATCTACCATTGCTCTCATAATACGTGGGCCTAAACATCTTATACAAAATGACAAACAATAACTTCATTAAATCATATGGAGTATATGACTTGGGAGACTCATTATCTTCAATAGTTGAGGTACGATCAGCCCTGAAAAATAACAATAAAAGCACCCAAAATTAGACTCAATCCTAGTCTTTCTTCAAACTGCAGTTAGAAAACAAGCAGTTAAAATGAACTGTAAGTATACCTTTTCCAAAATAGAACAAAAAGCATAAAAACAATATTATAAAACCATGAAGTTTGACAGCAAAAGTAGATAGCAACCTCCAAAAATTAAATTAAAGAAGTCCCATTTTTCAGCACTACGATTAACCAATATTTTTGTTGATTTAGCAGCTTCAGAACTCGTGGCTGAAGTTCCACCTTCCATGTCCTGTAAAAAATACAGAAGGCATATATTATATATACAGTATACTTCCATTTATGAGTTTTATATAGTACTCCGTATATAACAACTACATGCTGGAAAAAATGAATAAAATGGACTGGTAGTATCACAGTATGTATACATGGTAAAGAAAAATGGTAGTTTGCTAGTATGGACTGGTAGTATGTATACAACTATACATGGTAAAAAAAATACAAGTACCTGAAACATCTACATGGTAAAAAAATACAAGTAGCTGAATCATATACATGGTAAAAAATACAAGTATACAACTAGTTTACATATATGTTTAAGTTGTTTAGACTATAGAACTGACTAACGGTAACATTCAAACAAGAGTTCTACTGAGTACAAGAAGAAATATATATTTGAAAAAATGGTGGAAAAAGAAGACATGGTGACATAATATACTGGTAGTTTACATGCATAGTTTACAAGGTAGCTAGGAGAAGAAGTATACTAGTAAGCAGTTAGTTTATTTATATACATGGACAGTTTACTTTATGGTAGCTAGGAGAATAAGTATACAAGTAAGCTGTTAGTTTACATATACGTGGTGAAAAAATATATTGGTAGCTTACATAAATTATATATATGTTTAAGTTTTGACTGTAGAGCAAGAGTTCTAGAGAGACATAGAGTACAAGAAGGGTCCAACCTCCCGACTACTTAATGTAAGATCATTGACAGACTCCAAAAAAATGCCATTTTTTTTTAAATTCCACAAAAATGGCATATTTCATGAGAATGCCAACATTTTCATTCTGCCAACTTGAATGTGGTTTTTAATTGGATATTACTAATTTTGAACCAATTAACCAAAAAGTGACCACTTTTAAAAAGGGGAAAAAAAGTGATCAAGGTCATATATGTGCAATTAGAAAACATGATGTAACTGCAAAAATTTTATGTCACTACGTGCTCATTTTTTTGTAACTACAACCACCACCCATGTCACTATAACCACCGCCCATGTCACTGTAGCCACCGCCCATGTCACTATAGCCACCGACCGTGTCACTATAGCCACCGCCCGTGTCATTGTAGTCACCGCCCGTGTCATTGTAGCCACCGCCC